GAAACTCAAGGTCTGATCTTCATGGAGTTGGTTGGTGCAAGTTCTTTGTTAAATGATTTTGCACTGCTAAAGTGCCATGAGCATGTATCCAGAAGTGCAAGACATTGTGAGATGCAAGGTTATTGAGGAACATCCATGAAAATTATCAAGTGTAGCAAGAAATCAAGCTTCCCCACCCCCCATTTCCCTGTATTAGGGAGAAAGTGAAGTACCTACCCTGGTGATTTCAAATGAGTTAACACAGCAGATTTTAAATTTCCCAGGAGTGCTATTTCTTATAACAACTGGCAGAATGTTACTGTTCTTTGTCAGCTGTTTTATTAGCATCTTGCTGGTTCTCAAAATGCCCCAGAGCTTGAAGTAATCTATGTGCATGCATACATCTCAGAGAACAGGCTATTCTAGCTTCAGGCAATAAAATGGGAGCATTTTAGAGGGAAGGAGGGAAGGAAGCTTTGTGGTCTCATAAGGCTCCTTTGCAGAGCATCGTATTCTAACCAGCTGTTAGACATTTCACCGCCCTTGCTTTCACTTCATTTGGCAAAGCTAAATACATCAAGAGGAAGATTAAATAATTGCTCAGAAATCTAGTGCCAGAAGTTGAGAAACAGCATCATTCACTTCTGTGCAATTGTGATTATTGTAACAAAATTCTCTAGATTTTATACCGAGTATTGTATCCTCTCTGCCCTATGCCCGGAAGAGTCGGGATTCCAGGAGACTGAAATGTTAAACATTTTCATTTGGCTTCTGAAATCTGCACAGGGCTTTTGAGGGTTGTGAACGAAGTGCTCATGGTGAGGTCAGAGGCTTGTTGCAGAGAACACTAAATCTAGCTGATCTTCAGAGGTATCTACCTGGGGGAACGAAAGGGGAGGGCAAATGATGAAAACAGCATCAGGTGACACAATGCAAGCTCCACCCCTTTGGTACGTATGTCTCATGATGTCACATGCATCTACAAAGGGGGCAGGGCTTCCAATGCAACGACATGATTTTTTCATTATTTTGATGAAAGTGCTTATTCTGTGGGTGCCTCTGCCCATCTTGAACCAAGACCAAAGAGTATAATTTTATTCTTTACTTTCTCCACACTGAACAAGTTTTCAAATATTTCATATTTATGTCAGTTTTAAATGATTGCTTAATGGAATATATGTGAAGGCAGATTTTTGACCTGAAAGATGATCTAAAAATATGAAATGAAATAAAAATTAATAACAGATGTACTTATGTCTGTTTATATTCTACCTTTTACACAAAATATACGGCACCTAGCAACAACTGTAACAAAAATGAAATAAAATGGCATTATAATTTCTTTAAATAAATAAAACCAGCTGTAATACACCAAACAATAGCCACAGTTTGCCATGGTAAAATCTATTAGAATATTTTTTAAAAAATGAAAAGGGACATGAAACAAAAACTTTGGCTGAGGAAAGATTTCCAAAGTTTGGGCTCCCCAGTGAGCCTAAGACTGGCACCAGGCTTCGGCCTTCCAGTCCTTTTTTCTAACCAACTTCTTCCTTTTCACCTTTCACCTCCCACTTATCACCATGGTGACTCCTCTTTTAGTGCCCCTAATAGTGCATTGCCTCACTGAAAAAGTTCTGTGGGGAGCTGGAGCTTTTGACCTTGGACATGTCACCAGTCCATGATGACAAGTGTCATAGCTGGAAGTTAATCAAGCATGAGCTTCTGAATTTAGCCTGAACCATGGCAATACAAAGTCAACAGGAGTCTCCCAGTCATGTCAGCCTTTGATAGTGAGTTACATTGGGAAGGCTGTTTTTCATATCCCAACCAAATGTTCTTGAGATCAGGGTCTGCAACCTTGACAACTTTAAGACTTGTGGATTTTAGCTCCCAGAATTCCTCAGCCAGCATAGCTGGCTGAGAAATTCTGGGAGCTGAGGTCCACAAGTCTTAAAGTTGTCAAGGTTGCAGACCCCTGCTTTAGATAGTGGATGGACTGAGAAAAGACTCTCTTTCAAGGATTCAAACTACTTAATATCCTGTACAGTCTCCTAAATTAATAGAGTCTATTGTCTTTTTCCAAATTTTCAAAATAATAACTTAGAACTATAACACAATTGGTTGGATCCCAATGAAAGCGATTGGAGAAAATGAACAGCTGCACGTATAAAACACTGGAGCTTTAATAGATCCCAGTATTTCAAATTTTAATTTGTTAACATCGTAAATAGTCCCATGGTGATGCTGAAGTAAAGCCATAAATATATTAAAATATTATTTTAATTATTCCACAAATAAGATATCTATTGTCTGCAAGATCCCATAGGAAATAACACTGAAAGCTGTTGAGGGGGGGGGGGTGTTGAGCATCATTATAGATTTCTCAGTGATTCTTCAGTTGTGGTACTTTTTGTACTGGCTACGGGAGTTAGGAATGAGAGACATGGTGCTACAGTGGCATTGTCCTTTCTCAAGCACTGGTTCCAGTCAATGTTGATAGGGAGGAAGAGAGCAGGTCCCTGCTTCGTGAATTACAGTCTATCCAATCCTATTTAACATTTATATGAAGCTGCTGGGTGTGGCTTAGCACAGGGCGAAGTATCATCAGACTACTGATGAAAGCCAATTATATATCTTTGCCCCAGGCCAACTAAGTAATGCTGTGGGGGTATGAATGGGAAAGAAAGGGCTTCAGTTTGTTTATTTATTTATTTTTCACATTTCTGAACCACTCATCTTCTTCAAAGAGGTTTAAAGAATTTAATCTTGGAAAAAACAGTAACTATGGATCTTGACTCTCCCTCCCAATCCACTTGTAATGTGTTTAGAGAATGGCCTTGAAAGACAAAGGGGAATTTTACTATGAGGGCAACAATCAGATAAATGAGGCTTGAGCCCATACTAGGAAAGGCATTTATGAAAATGTCTCAGCTTGCTCTCCAACAATCCCTTCAATTTACAAGGCTTCAGAGAGAGAGAAAGTACAAGAGTCTGTGCTAGAGCTGTTCTAATAAAAGTAGCATTAGCTGTACATGCGTCTGTTTCTGGTTTGGTTTACCTTACAGGGTTGACACTATATCTCTGAATGGAGCTGCATCCCCCTAGATAGAGCTGCTGTACAATTCTGGGGGTCCTGGATTCATGGCTCTTGTTCAAAGAGCCTTTGCATATGTTCATCTTATATGCCAACTGCTTTCATTTCTCTAGGAATAGGAGGACCTACTTCCAATCATATAGCAAACATGGGCAGTTGAGGGCATTCAACAATATGCCCATTTAATGTCTCTGTTCCACTGCCTGCTCTGACTCCCTGTTCACTTCTAGATGCAATTTAATTTACTGGTTATCACTTATAAAGTCCAACATTGAAGTTACTCATGGAACTACCTGCTTCCGGTTGTCTTTATTCAGCCCATCAGAAATGGCAGGGTTGGCATATTCCAGATTCCATCTATTAGGTAGTGATCTAACGGGATCTAGGTGCTGTGCCTTCCTTGATTGTTGGACCAGCATACCCCGAGAGATTCAGATGCCTTCCTTCCTTCCTTCCTCCCTCCCTCCCTTCCTTCCTTCCTTCCTTCCTTCCTTCCTTCCTTCCTTTTTTCCAATTAACAAATTTTATTGTCTTTATGTATGCTTATCTAATGGTGATGATTATGATGATATCTTATTATAATCTTTTTATTTTATTTAAAGCATATATTTTCAAAAAATATCTATCAATGAGCAGATAATTACTGAAGTTGTGCAATTATTACTCAATGTGGCATTAGTTCCAAATAAAGTATATTAAATTATTTTTATGACATAAAAGTATAAATATTTGAGTTTAATGTCAACATTTCTACTATATTATATTGTGCCAAGTTTATTTATGGTATGTTTATTATATATTCTGGAATTATATCTAATTTATCAAAGTAGTTTCATTTCAAATTTGTTCCCTAAAATCTCTGAATAGAGCTTTGTGTATCTTTCCAATACGTCGGGGTTTTTTAACATGCTCACCACATAGGTTAGAATGTTTCTTCTGTTTTGTGGCATTTCCAACATTTGTTGCTCTATGATTTCTTTATTTTGGCAATTATTGATGGAATTATATGTTTGTATCTGTAAAACATTTTATACCTTTCAAATCATAACCAGGAGTGAATTTTATAGATTTGTTCCACATTCTTCTCATTGCTGTATTGAGACTGTTTCTTTGAAGTTTTGCATCCAATTTATCATATATGTTCCATCTCTGTGTTTTATATAAGTGGAAGTTTATAGATACATACTGATTCTGTGTAAACATTTTCAAAAGACAAACTCAGGATCCAAAAAGATCTTGACTAACTTGAATAATGGGCCCTATCCAACAAAATGAGTTTCAGTGTGGAGAAAAGCAAAGTTTTACATTTAGGCAGGAAAAATCAAAAGTACAAGTACAAATTGGGTAAGACCTGGCTTAAAAACAGTAACTGTGAGAGGGACCTTGGAGTCCTAGTGGACGATCACTTGACTATGAGCCAGCAGTGTGCAGCAGCAGCCCCAAAAGCTAATACAATCCTGGGCTGTATAAACAGAGGCATAGAATCAAGATGATGCGAAGTATTAGTACAACTTTATAAAACCTTAGCAAGACCACACCTGGTTACCATATCATAAAAAAGATGTTGAGAGTTTGGAGAAAATTCAGAGAAGAGCAACTTCTGATGATTAAAGGCCTGGAGACTAAAACATACGAAGAACAGCTGCAGGACTTGGGTTTGGCTAGTCTAAAGAAAAGAAGAAATAGGGGAGACATGACGGCAGTATTCCAGTATTTGAGGGGCTGCCACCAAGAAGAGGGGGTCATGTTATTCACCAAAGCACCAGAGGGCAGTACAAGGAACAATGGTTGGAAACTGATCAAAGAGAGAAGCAATCTGGAATTAAGGAGAAACTTCCTGACAGTGAGGACAATCAACCAGTAGAACAGCTTCCTCCAGAAATCATGGGTGCTCCATCACTGGAGATTTTTAAGAAGAGGCTGGACAGTCACTTGTCTGAGATGGTATAGTTCTCCTCTTGAACAGAAGACTTCCAAGGTTCCTTCCAGCTCTATTCTATTCCCAAATTCTGTCATTTTTCTTAATGTCCCTATCTCATTTTTGAGATCAGTTTTTATTCTTCCAGCAATTTGAAAATAAATCACCCATGATATATTCCAGCCTTTGCTGATCCTTATTGTATGTGTAATCTATTCATAAGGTCTGGGCGGACCATGTTTGCATATGTAATTACATTTTCCTTACCATAATTGTCTCCAACATGAAAAGCATTTAGGAGAGAGCCTAATGGGGAAATGGTTGGGTTTATTATTTTCCACATGGTGTTCCATACTTTTATTAAGCTTTGTCTTATAATGTGTCCTTTTAGGTTTTTATTCTCTTTTAGGTCCCTGTGACATAAGTATGTATGAAGCCCATTAGCTAGATCAATTCCTTCCAATACTGTACTGATATTTTGCTGTTTGGAGATTTTATCTACTCTGTGGAACACGACAAAGAGCTTGTCTGTAACACAGTTTGAAAACTGGAAGGACAAAGCAACCTCTTTCTTTGGAGTGGTGTTAAATTTTAAATTTGTCTCTAGGTTTTTCCCCACTCTCTATATATTCGCTAATAGTTTCTTGTTGTTCATGTAAGGTCTTTTTCTGAAATTAGGGTCATTTGAAATAGATACTTCATCTTGGGTAATGCAATCATTTTGATAATTACAATTGATCCCTGACAGCCAATTTTTTTCTGCAAGAAATCTTTTCTTTATGTTAAATGTTTAGTTATTTTTGTTTGTGTATTAATTTTGTATTCAGAGAACTTTCTGAAGCTATTATTTTCCTTGTTAGCCACCCTCAGGGATTTAAAGACTTGGATATTCCTGTAGGCATTTGGGCTGGAAAGCTTGTTTAGTTACGATATTATTAACTAGAAGTGTAATTTTTGACACTGCTTCTTATTGTTTCTGATAAACTGTATTATTCACTTTAATGGTTTTTAACCCTCTATGTGATACAGTCAGTTTAGTAAGAAGGATGGCTATATACTTTTTTCTTAATCAACCTAGGAAGCAGCATTTTTCATTATATCTAGCACAGGGATAATTTGAACTGTTTACTGAAAAGCCTAAATTAAAAAGATAAAAACAATGCACATGACTTTATTAAATGTAAAATAAATACAGTGCCAAGTTTAAATCTATTTGCAAAATTGGGAATTAACAGTACTGCATACACAAACATTCCCCACAAACCAAAGACAGCACTTTTCATATATGTAACCCTCCAATACACATAAACAGAAACACAGCTTTGCAGCAACAGCTAAAGCTGGATGCTGACATTACCATCAAAGATGGTAGCCCCTGACAGGCCACAGCCAGAATGTCTCCATCCCAAGCCCAGGTTTAATTGTGCCTGTTCCCTTTAATTTCTGTATGTAGGAGAAAAACAGGTGTAGTAAGAACATGCAGAACTATCATCATCATGTCACAACCCTTAGAAGATCCTGATATAATGAGCCACATCTTTTTCCAACTTGTCTTTAAACATCTTTCTCCAACTTGTCTTTAAACATCTTTTTATGCCTCCAAGGACTTTTGAAGTGCTCGGACCCAAGCCTATTATTTAGATCAGTGTTTCTCAGCCTCAGCAACTCTATGATGTGTGGACTTCAATTCTGAGAATTCCCCAGCTAGATTTACATGTAATCTTGAGATGGCCAATTACTTAGGTATAGCTCAGCAATTTTCTTCTCATCTTGGCATAGAGAAGCCACCTCAAGATTACTAAGGCTGTTTATTAGCTTTACTTTATTATTGTCATTAATAGATGCTTTTTACCAATACAGGAGAATGCATATTATATCATCAAGACAAAATCGGTGTAAATTCAGTGTGGTTTATTTCTATCCAAATATGCATTAGAGTTATAAGATAAAATATTATAAGATTGTATGCATATTTGATTGGAAAGGTGCTGTTGTATTCAATAGAGCCTATTTTCTTGCAAGTTCAGGGAATTTATTTATTAATCTGTGATAAATTTTATATTCATCCAAATGGTAAACCTTGAATATCTGAAATCTTAATCTCAACTTTATGTTTTCTAAAAACTCTTTCATGAAAGATCACAAAGTTGGAATTGATTGATTGACCTTCCCCTCTCCCCCAAAAAAAACTTCCTTTGTTTTCTTGCACGAGGCGGCAGTGGATTGCATAGGAGCAATGGCACGGGGCTGGAACTCAGGTAAGGAAAGAAAGGCAATTTCTGGGGTGAGTGAGGATTTTTTTCCTTACCTGCCCCACTTGTTCCAAGGCAACTTTCCACTCAGACGCATTGCTCTTGCCAATGGCCCGATCTCCCACTTCAGTGTCCTCCCTCCCCGAGCCTCCAGCATTCTACCTGCTGCTTTGGTGGCTCTCTAGGCAGAACTGCCCCACTTGTTCCATGGCTGCTTTTGGCAGAGCCACATTGCAGCAGCATTGGGCGCAATACACAAGCAGCAAACAGCTGCATCATGCCGAAACCTGCCCAACACCAGTTCCTTATCTCTGCCCAGCTTGTTCCGCAGCCTCATGGCAGCCGCATTGGGTACAATGCGCGAGGCGGCAAACAGCCATGTCACGGCAAAACCAAGGGGCCAGCAGGATGTGGTTGCTGATGGACACAGTCGGCCCCCATGCGCTCGCTGTGTGCGGAGGCCGAGGTGTCAGGCAGCAGCTGCCTCAGCCCCTGCCTCGCCTTGCTTTGTCCTGTGGCAATGGCACCTCTGCCCTGCTCCCTGCCTTGCCTCACCTCACCCGCAAGATGAGCTCCTGCCCACTGTACCACCCGTCAGAGACCCCCTGGATCTCCCCCAAACCTGCCTGGTCCCCACAGGCATCTCTCCCCACGAGCAACATTGAGGTGGCCATGCCCACCCCAGCCATGCCCACCCAGTCTGCCGTGATCCCTGCAGCCACTCCCACCAAATGGGCCACACCCACCTAATGGGTCACACCCACTTGGCACCTAATGATACATAAGTGGGTTTGGGTTACAGTTTGGGCAGTCGGTCTCTAAAAGGTTCGCCATCACTGTTCTAGAATGTATCCAGTAGTGCTTTCTCTATTAGTAGCGTCTTCTCCAGTGAAAACTAGGATAGTAGGTAATGCAATCTTCTGAAGCAGAACTATATTATTGCAGGCTTTTAACAGTGTGCCAGAAGTCTGCTACATAACTCAGACTGCATATTCTATATCTAGAGGCATGGTTCTTAAAAAAAAAAAGGATTGCCAAGGAAGTGTTTGCACTTGATAGGGCAATTATCCCAAAACTAAGCTTCCTGAATTCTTTATCAGATACCAACCCACATAATTCACAGTCCTGCCAACTGTAGACAATGGAGTTGTAGTCAAGGCAATCTGAAGGGCATCAGGTTTGAGAAGACAGCCTAATCCAAGAAGCTATAGGTAAGTTAATATGCAGCAGTGAGCCTGGTAGTCTAGGGTACAAAGTCCAAGGTGCAAAACCTACTGAGCCATGAACTTCATCAGATAAGCCTAAACCAATAACTTTGTTCAGGTTAACCTACACCATAAGGGTGTTGTAGGTATATCATGGTGTGGAGCTACAAATGGTGTCTATCTTACAATAAACTTAAATGAAAGTAACATGCCTACTGAGCAGTAATTTTCACAACAATCTCTCACCTAGTAATGGGATAGTTACTAGATATGGATAAACATTTTGATACTAAGACCTGCCTAGACTAAAATGTAGAAGTGACAGGTTAATGGCTCTCATGAATTAATTAACTTGACTGGTGGACCTCAAAAAGTCATTGGGATAAAGAGAAATGAGAAACTTTCTTGAGTGCAAATAAAACAGGTGCTTCTGACACCACCTGGTAGCTATTGTGTCACCTCCTCTGGAGACTCTTGTCATTGTTAAGATGAATAACTGTAATCGTCAGTTTTCATTACTGGCTCTTGGATATCCCTACAGCACCTTTCTCTTCAAACACATCCTCGTGGTCAGATGTGGCCAAAGCAAGCAAAACAATCAGATTCCTCTCCCTGTCTGGCACTGCATTCCTTAGCTGATTATCATTATCAAAAGCTACACGAAGGAGGGCGGGCATGTCAAGTGGCTGGAGTCAGGAAGAGGGCGTTCAGCAAGCAGCCAACCTGCTTGGCTGCCCAAGGAGTGTTAGTAAATTTGCTTCTTAGCAATAGGCACTGGATGACAACAGAGCTGGAGGAGGAAGGAAGCTAGAGGAGGAGGCACCAGCAGCAACAACTCTCCTGTGATTTTTTTAAAAATTCAAAACTGTGTCTTTGCTGTTCCTTTAATTGGTGTTGTGATGATTCAAAACCAAGCCAGTCAAGTCACATAGCTTGCTGCCAAAGGGTGGGCTCAAAACACCCACATGCAGCTGGGTGAGGCAAGTGACTGCTACTCTGTTTCCTTATCTTGAGAGCAACTTGAGATAAAGGCCTGATGCACTGTTTGTTCTGGCTCAATGTGGAGGCCACCTTCCCAAAGGAAGTTTTACTGCCTTTGCAGGCGCCAGACAACACTGATTGCAGTTCTCTCTTCATTGCTCTGGGATAAAGTATGTTCTCTACAGGGAGGAATTTAATTCTTATTCACACTGGAAAACTCATGAGAATTGCTTTTGCAGTGATTTGAGCTACAGTGTCACCTGAAGCTCAATATTATTTAAGCTGGCCTTAAGATTAGACAAAATAAAAAACAAAAGCTGGTGGCAGATTCTAGGTTTCCTCTCCTCTCCTTTCTTTTTCTGTTTCAGGCACCGAAATCCTGAAAGCTGCATTAAGTAGAAAGAAGAGAAGAGAGACTTAGGTTAACTGAAGAGTTTTGCTAATTTAACCCACGTTTTTTTATTTTTTTTTGCAGGACAGATGAACATAAAGCAAGGACTTTTTCACTCACTGTCTGGTTGCAAGGGTCTGAATGAAGCAGAACCAATCCAGGTCAAGCTCAAGGTAAAACCAAGCTGATTTTGGTTCTCCATATACATAAACACTATGTGTAGGCACTTACCATCTTTGGCTCTGATTGGAGCAGAGCTCCTCCACATAGAACTGATGTGCAATTTGGGGGTCCTCCTAAATTCTCAAGAATCAGGTGACAGTCATGGGTAGAAGAGCCTTTGCACAGCTTCATCTTGTCTGCCAGTTATGCCCATTCCTATTCCAGAAGGCCCTGCTCACTATTATTCATTGCCTTGATCATCTCTGGAATGGTATATTTAAGATTCAGATGACCAAACTTTACCAAATTTCTGTTAGTCTCTTCTCCCAAGCAGTGGGCTTGGGTATTGGGTGAGCCTTAGTATGATTAAGGTTTGCTTATTTGGATTTTGCTTCATGAGTTTTTTATGATAATTGTTTTTATTTTATTGTTATCTCCCATGTCAATTGGACAGCTATATAACTATCTATAATAAACCATAAGAAGTTGCAAACATGCTTAGGGTAGCCTTCTCAGATTCGACAACCGACTGATTTGAGAATTTCTGCTTCTAGATTTGTCAGCAATGGCTATGCTACCTGGGGAAGTCTGGGAATTTAAATCCACTCCTTTGAAAGATGCAGGTTAGAAAAGGCTGGCCTAAAGAGTTCTGGGGCATAGTGTCATTTTGTGGTTAGAATCAATCATAGCATAAATTGAACTGAAGTTCGCAAAGGAACAGTAGTTCCACTTTTAACATCCTGAAATGTATCTTCCCTATTAAGATGCTCCTATAGAAGGAAAAAGCCAAGCAATTCATCAGGTAAAAGAAATTGGGTAAAAGTCATGGGCATCTTTCCTCCAGTGAATGCCAGCAACTTTAGTCCAAGTAATAAAATATAAAAACTAGGTAACCATAATAAATGGCTTCTGTTGACTATCACCACTACGATCAAAGTTGCAGTTTACAAATAGCCATAAAGGATTAGTCAGATTTTACAGAATAAGAGTATCATATCCGGCCACTCTTTGTCAATAAAAAAAACAGTTTAGAGAGGTGCCAAGCCCTGTAGTTTATATTATAGGCACGCCCTACAAAAATGCAATTTCTGAAGCCGGTATTGTAGAAATTGTTTTCAGCTTCTAGAATTTTGATACTTTTTAACAGAATACTGATTATCCAGTCAGGACAGGCAAGCAGTGAAACATTCAGGTTCTTTTTGAAATACCTTTATTCTTCAATATTCAGTGTAAGGCACTGCTGGAGCTTAATGAAGCTTACAAAATCAGTAATCATATCAGGGAACGAAACATTTTCCAGAAAGGAAATTAGATGTAATTGCAAGCTCAATTAAAGCAAAAGAAGTGATTGCAATTGAACCAGACTTATTTAAAATAAGATGAGAGGGATTGCTTGGCTTGGATAAATTAATATCAATCAAAGCCCTGTAGAAGAGACATAGCTTTTCAGTTTTTCAAATATCAAGGTAACTGGTGATTCTAAGTTTTTTTAAAAAAATAGTTATTTAAAAATAAGAATAGGCACATGTTGATCTGTGAGATAACTACTATTTTCACTCAATATCTTCATCTTCTGAACACATGGTGAATCTAAAAAAAAGGAAAGATGCCAAAACTTCCAAACCTGGAAGACTATATTTATTGGTTCCTGCTGCTGAGGAACTAAGAGTTATTCAGTTTTTTTTTTTAACTCAATTAACAAAGTTTTAGCTTTTATTTAAAATGGGAAAACAGAAGTATTCCTGGATTGTTGACATACTCAGTTCAAATTATAAAAAGCAGTCTGGAAATCTTGGCTGCAAAGACATATCTGATTTCATGTAGGTTTATTAATAAACTAGAAAACAGAAATAGCAAAATACCCCCTATGAAGTAACAACAGCAAAGAACATGCTTTTATGACATTTTCATTTTTTTTTATTATTCCAACCTGTTTGGTGTTATCAAAAATATAAAAAAAATAAAACTTAGATTACTTGAAGTATTAAGTCCACAGAATCAGGAGTACAATCTGGTGTAAATGTCCTTTACTCTCACTGCAGCTATATCTTCTAAGAAGCTCTCAGCAACTGTCAATTCACATAGTATTCTCATTATAAAGTAGTTCTGCATTCATATGGGAACAACAAATGCAACAGGCTTCAATCAAGTGGTATGGAAAGGTACAATGTGGTTATTATGACAAAGCACATACTTTTCTCAGGATCATTTCTATCTTCGGATTATGTTGAAGAAAACTCAAAAGATTGTCCAGTGTTGTGGGCTCTTGCATTGGATTGTTTTCAATATTTTATCCATCTGAGGATTTTAGATCTTTTTCTCATGGATCAAATTTGCTGTCTTTATAGATAGACAGTATATTTATTAAAATGAATTCCAGGTACATTAATTTAGAACCCCCCAAATTGTATAGAAATTTCTGAGCAGAATTGGCATGCACATATTCAAGCATCTTATGCAATATGAAAACTGAAACTTGAGGGAGAGAACTTTTTCTGAATTTAAGTATGAAATTCAAAGATACAATCATTCTTATGCACTGTAAAATGTTTTCTGAACTTTGATGTAGATCTGATTGTGAATCACTGAAATCTGAAATACTGTCTTAAATATAATGCATGACCAAATTCAGGGACCAAATGTGATTATTTGAAAAATCACAACTATTGATCACAAAATATACACCAAAAAGCTGATTAGATTGCATAAATCTTTTACACTAATACTTACTAAATGGCAATGTTTGAAGACTTTCCTTATAGAAAAATAATTCATTTTTATAGAATTTTAGTATTTTTATAGAATTTTAGTATTTTTTGAAATATTGAAGTGCTAGCTCCTTCAAGTTATTATACTTGTTTTTCCTTATAAGCAGGTGATAGGAACAGGTATAAAGTGATCCTTGTTTTTACATTTTGTAAGATTGCATCTATTTGTTTCCACAAAATATAAAGTCCCACAAGGGCAGGAGAGGCCACACTCTCAGAGAATGAAAACCTGAAACTGGATCACTAATTGTAAATTTTATTTTTAATGGATATATCTTCAATTGAATTGCAAGCATTGTAAGACACAAGAAGTTGAACAAGACAACTGAGAATCAAATCAATTCTGGGAGGCATCAAACACAGAATCTATAAACTGTCTTTATATTTTATGTATTAGGTTTATTCTCCATTTTTCCTTAGATCATATGTAATACATCACCTTCAATTTTACCCCAGCAAAAATAATACTCTGACCGTACTGAGCTCACATACTGCACTGAGCCATGATTTATTTAAGTATGCTGATTACTAGTTCAATATGCTAAGCTATAAACTAGCATTTACAAGCCACAGTGTCTGTGTTTCCACAATTCACCAAGTCAAAGGCAAACAAACCACATTTGGCCTAGAATGATGCAATAATCCGATTAAATTCCATAGCTGAGTGTCAGTTTAGATTCAAGACCAATATTCTGCTACACCACAGCTGACCATATTATTTTTTAATGTGATAGATAATAGATAATCAAGTGATTAAAAGGATGCCATATAAATGAACCATTTTCACTGAACTTTGGCCTGGAGATTTATTATCAAATAACCCAATCATTAACATTTTTTCCTAAAGCTGACAAACAGTATATTCAGATTAAAGTGTAAATTTGTGTATCAACACGGCTACAATATATGACCATTAAACAGATTGTCTCCAAATACTAGAAGTTACCTATAGAACATAGCAACAAACTTTGAGACCTATTTCCTGATCAGCCTGGCCCTATGCCAGTCAGATGGACAGAAATGCAGATAGACCCTGGTATTCTATCAAGTTCTACATGCTGAGAGAGAGAAATATGAGATATCATGATAACTGTAATCTTGAGCAGGCAGGTGAACTATCATAGTTTAATTTAATCTAACCCCATTGCAATCTAATCGTACCAGTAGTGATATGACATTTAAGAGTAACTTTTTTCCCCAGAAAGTTTCTTCCAAAATTCATTCTGATTCTCACTAGATAGTGATTAAGAATTTGTGTCCCACACCTCAAAATGCTATGCAGTTTCCATCACCTCTGACTTGGAGTTGATTGAAATTAAAATTCTTTATGTTCCCGAAGGCAGCAGGGTCCTTAGACAAATATATATTCATACATAACAAGAAGTCCTCAGCAACCATTCAAAATTACAACGGCACTGAACAAGGGGAACTTACAGCCTTGGAGTTCCAGCCATCACAACACCCCCACAATCACAGGATTACAATTTCAAATGTTCCTTGCTGGCTTCCTTCAAGCAAAATTAGTGGGGAAGCCAGCAGGAAGTTGGAATTTGCTCCAGTTTCTGCTGTGTTTTTGCCCACTTGCACTCCAGAGCCCGTGGTGCTCCCCCCCCCAGCAATGCCCTCCTGTGCTTAGGAGCATAGTTCACAGAATCCCCCTAGCCCCCTGCAGCACTTGCATATCTGCCCACACTCTGGAGCATCTTCCAGCAGCCCCTCTGGCCCTCACGCACCTACCTGCATTCTAAAGTGCCTGCCTGCAATATCCCTTGCCCCTCTGCCTGCAGCTCTCAATGATGGCTCTCACTTTCTTGGGACTCCCATCTCTTCCCTCTTTAAAGCCTACATTGTCCTGAGGGTATGACATTGAACTACATAGCCACATTGCTTGGCAACAGAAATTCTGGTCTCAGTTGCTATTGTAACCAGAGGACCACCTGTAACCAACAGCACATACATTCCTTTAAAATAACCACATCATTTCCTTTCTCTTTCTTTCTTTCTTTCTTTCTTTCTTTCTTTCTTTCTTTCTTTCTTTCTTTCTTTCTCTCTCTCTCTCTCTCTCTCTCTCTCTCTCTCTCTTCTTTCTTTCTTTCTTTCATCTGATGGTTTAGTTCTATCACAGGGCACTCCCTTTCAAACTAAGGGTTGCATAGGTATTGTCAAGCTACTGTACAAGCAATACATGGAATTAGTTCCTGGTGTTGCAAAACCAAGATATATAATCTTATAATTTGCATCAACCTGGCATTTATATCATGCAAGGTACATAGCATTTATACAGTGAATAAAACGGAATTGTAGCTTTGAAATCAGATACTAACTTCTAACTTGAGCATAAATTCCATTTTGGAACAATATTATCCCTAGATAACATTGAAGGTTCTGGACAAAATGGGTGTGTGTGTGTATTAAGATTCATACCTAAGCACATGTATCATAAATTTAACACATCTGTAATTTAATTTCTCATAATCTTACACAAAAGTATTTGAAGTCATCTTCCTCCCTTCCCATGCTCTCCATAATTCCTAGACTTTATACCAATGGGGATAGGTCTGTTTTAAATATTAATTAGAAGCACATTAAAACTGCCAGTCCTGTATCTCAACCCAGAGAAATGACTATCACAATGTTTGTAAAACTAGAAAGAAGGTTAGCATAAGTACTCCATTGAAACATATATTTTTACCTTCAGGTAAAGTGAGCAGCATCCCTCCGTAGTTTGAGTACAAGATCTCGTTGTTAAATTCCTGCTATCAAGACTGACGACTTAAAGGTGGAAACTGGAAAAAGACAGTTGGGAACTTTCACCGAAGAACTTAAAGGAAAAAAGAAAGAGGAAAAGAGAAAAAAGAAGCGGTAACAGCTCCTTTCTTCACCCTAACAGATCCGTCAGCAAAAAGGCAGAGGAATATCCAAAGGCTGGAAGGAACTGGCAGGGTGATAAGCTAGATCTGAAATCTGAAACTGCAGGTTGGGTCAGTTATATATAAATACACACACACCCATTTACTCGCCTCTCTCTCACCACCCCTCTGTGTTTCCTTAGTACTATAATAGGAGGCAGCCCTCTAGCTGTGCTACTGCAAACTAAGAACGCTCTGTAGTATTCACAAAGAGTAAATAATGAACTCCGTCAAATACAAACCTGTATTTCTATCTTATTCATAGAAACCATATGATGAAAGCTGATTAAATGCTCAGGCAAAGGGCAGAAATCTAACATTAAGTAATATATTTTAACATATTTGAAGAATTTCAAAATATGTCAGAAAGTGATTCTAGAGACTGTATAAATAAGGTGTGGGAGAAGTACAAAGGAGAAGATTTTCATTCACTGATTTTAAATCAATTGATTGAGGATTCAGGAGGTGGGGAACAAGCAAGTGAAAGATATCTCATGTATGAATAAGATTAAGTTTTTTAACACATTTTTAATTTAGTTTTTAATTTCAAAAACAGTTTTCAACTTTGAGGATATGCAAAATACCTTCAATCTAGTTCAGCGGTATACTTTAAAAAATGTGAGCGGTTTTTTTAAGGAAAAGGTTGATCATGTCAACTCGCTGCAACCCTACAACATGTCTTTTGAGAAATAAGCCCTGTTGTTCACTGTGCTTTTCTGCTATATGTAGAGGATTGGAGCTTTATTGTGAAACTCTTTTCATGGTGATAATGTCTGAAGCAAGTCTTACTGTATTTAATGAACGTCACTCCCAAATAAGTGCTGCAGCTGTAATTACATATTTGATAAACAGTAATTGGATTACTTTACTATGAGCTTAAACAATCAACAGTGTCAAACAGATGCCTTTTTACACAACTAATAACATGCGATAGAATAATTAATACGTTTGTTCTACCGGATTGTACTAACAGCAGCACCCAAGGAAGTCCATCATCCTATTTGTAATAAACTGCAGGGTGGAAATGTGGGAAGGAGCAATCCTTCTCATCAGAAGTATCATAGAAGACTTGGAACATAAACTTTCATCCTCCATCCATTCAAATCATATCCCATTCCCTTTTCTGACTTTTCCCATCAGGTGAACCAAGAGATATGGGGAAGAGGATTCAAGAACCCATCTGTGTTCACCAGCCTTAGAGAGGAAAATCAGATGCATTTTTTTCTGTTCATGGATGTTAGCCTTGGACCACTGAATTGCTTCCTTAATTATTAAGAAAATGGCACGTGCTAAATTGAGTGAGCCAAGGCTGCATATTCTCCTCTTATTTATTTAACATTTATGTTAAACATATCTTTTAAAAAGTTGGGTTGAAAGGTAAGCATAATTTTAAAACTGGAGGAAGAAACATTAATAACCTGAGCTAAACTGATGATACTACCATGATAGCCAAACATGCAAAAGATCTGTAAGCTATGGTAAGAAAAGTCAAGGAGCACCATGAAACAGTGGGGCTAAAATTAAAATTAAGACAACCACGCTAATGACGACAGGTAAACAATCATCTTTAGAATTCACAATAAAGATATTGAAGTGGTTGATAACTTCTGCCTTTTAGGATCAACCATTAATTGTAAAAGAACAAGCAGTTCAAGAAATATACTACAGACCAGCACTTGGTAGAGCAGCCATGAAAGAAAACATATTTAGATGCCATACAAAGATCAGAACAGCGCAAGCAATGATATTACCTCTGACACTTTAAACTATGAAAAGGCAGCATAGGAAGAGGGTGGACTAAGTTACAATGGTGATGAGTACAGTATTGGAAGACCTGAAAGACCGGTTACGGAGAAAGCATCATGGAGAAAATCTATCTATATGGCTGCTAAGAGTTGACTCTAATTTGATGCCACATAATCAATGTATTAAATTAATTCAGAAAATATTGTTACTCAAGTAGCCCTGATTTTATGACTTTGTGGAGGATATAACTGCCTGAGATCCAGAGAAAGGAATTGGGAGGCACTAATGTCTTTTTGTCATGAATGTTCTATTAATTAACCCCAAAATTTATTCAAAAGGATGTAACAGAATTTTTAAAGCAAAAGTTACTGCAACGTGATATTCTGAATCCAGGTAGTCTTTGACTTATGACCATAATTGGGGCTGGAATTTATTTTGCAAGTTACAGTTCTAAATCAAATTGGATCCAATTTTATGACAATTTGTAGAGAGATTGTTAAGGAAATTACACAGTCATCAAGTGAATCATGAGGTTATTAAGTGAATCTATCTCCTCCAATGGGTGTTTTTTCCCCCTCAGAAATTGGCAAAAATAGTCACAAATTGTATCATGTGATTGCAGGATGCTGCAACTGCTCATAAATGCAAGCCAGTTGTCAAGCACATGTGAATGCAGGAATGGTGCAATTGTCGTAAGTACACATAGTAAATCATTTTTTCTAAGGCCCCTGTAACTTTGAACTATCATTAAATGAATGGTTTGTAAACTGAGGACTATATGTAACATACCTCTGCATGATTAAGATACAATCCACATATGATAAAAACACACCATTTAGTATATTGTCATCATCATCTAAACCTTTCTAGTTTCTGGAAACAGTAAGTTCCTGATATATCATACCTGGTAGGAAGATTGTGCACAGGGAGTGATAGACATTGATTTGCCAGACTTTCCATCTAATTGAAAGTCAAAAAACAAAAGAAGTCTTGTAGCACCTTTTTAACTAATACATTTTATTAAAAGGCATAAGACTCGTCTGATGGTATCAGGTTTGGCTCACAAAAGCTTATGTTTTCTAACAAAATATGTTAGATGGAAAAGGTGCTACTGAACTCCTCATTTTTGACTACACCTCTCTCCATCTACAATATCTCACTGGAATTAATCAAAGAAAAGGTTTTTGATCCAAGCTAGTGGTAGGGAAGGGTCTAAACCAGGGGTAGGCAACCTTGGCTCTTTTATGACTCATGGACTTCAACTCCCAGAATTCCTGAGCCAGCATAGCTCATTCTGGGAGTTGAAGTCCACGGGTCATAAAAGAGCCAAGGTTGCCTACCCCTCATCTAAACTCTGGGTGCACGGGGCAATTCTGAATTGATTCCACATTCCTATTCCCAGAATGCTGCATTGGTAAAAATGTATTCTGCTGTTCCTACTACATCCACTTCATACTACAGTATGTCTACCAGCACCAACAAATCTGGAGTATTTATTTGGAAATGTATTAATCTCTAGATCTACCTTCAGGTATAGAATGTATATACTATACGTCTGTGTATGTGTTTTGTGGACATTTTAACCAGCTCTACTTTATACTATGCTTTGGACAGCAAATAAAACTAGAGTTTGCAGTGTTGTTGAAAATGCTCAATTTCATAAGTTACAGTTGCTGGTAAACATACATTTTCAAAGGCAAGGTAGAATTTCTTAAAGTCCACTTGTAATTAAGGTCTTCATATCCAGTTTTGAAAATATTTATCCTAGCTATGAATCATTTATGTCAATCCAGAAGTGCAATATTTCATCACTCGGTTTTGGAATATAGTATATTATCTAGAAGGGGCAATAATAGTCAAATTTATATGAAGTGTTGAACAGTTTCCTCTGACATGCTTGTATCCTCTGTGCTGATCGCACTGTGTGGGCTAGGCCTTTACACATGTTTCTCTTGGGACTTAAAAGAAAATCCTATGCAAACATAAGCCTGGCAGTGAGTCAGCAGAGCCAGTGCAATTCATAATAGCAGGTTCTTTGTGATACATGTAGAAATATACCTCTTTCCTACATATATTCAGTGTAATGCTATAGCACAAGTATTTGTATTGCATTTTGGGTGCCAAAATTACAGCGGAGAGATTTATCCCTTGAGGTTTTGTTTGTTTCAGTAAAAAATATTACTGATATTTGTATTCCATGACATCAATTTCTATTTGTGAGAAAATTCACATCATCTAGTACGATAACTGATCCAGTAGCATCAGACACTGATATCCCTTTGGCAAATGAATGCCATATACATCTACTAAAACCATGCAGCTATAATAGTGAGAACATGAAATTTAAAGAGAACTTTATATTTTGTATCAATTTCTTCATCTAATTCATCATTCAATTAAAAATGTCTGATGTTTATTTTACGTGAGCCACAGTTTCATGACATCTCTAAATTATTTTAATTCTAGTGATCAAATTGTTCCTGCATACTAGTCCTTCCATATAATTTCCAGCCCATCTAGATTGAGTGACAAAGTCTGAAGGAGGCATTTTCCTGTTTATCCACTGGCATCAAAAATTCTGTTTGTGTTCAGTTAGACATACTTAGGATTCCTCTTTCTATAGACGTGCATTTCCCTCTAATGTAATTTATTAAAATAAGGTGTTGAAGGTAGTAAATATACATTTCTAGGGACACTAAAGGTAAAGGTTTCCTCTGTTCAGTCATCTCCAACTTTAGGGGGCAGTGCCCCTCTCCATTTCTTAGCCGAGGAGCCAGCATTATCTGAAGACTTTTTCTGTGGTCATGTAGCCAGCATGACTATATGCCAAGGTGCCTGGGACGCTGTTACCTTCCCACCAAAGTGGTACCTATTTATTTACCCACATTTGCATACTTTTGAACTGCTAAGTGGGCAGGAGCTGGGGCAAGTAACAGGACTTTACCCAGTTGCACGACGCTGGGTAAGTTGTTGGACCTGGGCTGTCAGCTTTCTAGCTGACAAACTTAACATCTTTAACCGCTGAGGCATTGCACCCCCTCCCCCCCCCAAACACACAAGATAAATGTGCAATCTGAGTTTTAAGTCTAAATGAGGATTTATTCAAATAAGCATCCTGGATGACCAGAATCTGAATCCAGTTTTCTTATCTCAGGTTTCCTAATTATTACC